TTCGGTAGCGCCGGGGGGAGAGGGGGGGCTTGCGGGGGGGGGCTACAGCTCATCGGGAGGGCTGTGGGTGAGGGGAACCTCCTCCTGCACCCCGCTCTCCTCCGGGGGAGCCGCCGGGAGGCTGCCAGCTCCCTCACCCACCTCCTCCTCCTCCTCCTCCTCCTTCTTCTTCTTCTTCTTCTTCCCGCTCTTTTTCTTGCTCTGCTTCTCCCCGGCGCTTGCCAAGTCACCCTTCTTGCCGGTCCACTTCTCTGCCAGGCAGCCTGGGGAGGAGAAGGGTAGAAAGGGGGGGCTCCCCGTACCCCCGGCGGGGCTCCCCGGCACGGCCCACCCCTGGGCTTAACAGCGGACAGGACTTACTTGTGTCCTTCCCTTTTAGCACGTGGTTGGCGCAGAGGAACTGGGAGAGGTCCTCTGTCTGGTGGTGCCTGTACCAGTCCTCGATCACGTCTTCGTACTCCTCCACCAGCACGTCGCACTAACGAGGGAGGGAGAGACATCGTCCAACCACACGACCAACTGGGACACCCCTCTTACCAGCAGCACACCCCCCAGACCCCTCCACCCACCCTACAAGGCCACGGTGCCCACCAAATGCCAATTCCCCCCTTTCCCCGGGTGTGGTACCTGCTTTTTGAGGTCAGCCACCTCAGCAGAGGTCTCGTTCCACAGCTCGTAGGGGATGTCCATCACCACCTTGACGCCCTTGTGCACCAGGTTGTGCAGGGTCTCGAAGGTCTCCGACATCCCCTGGGAGAGCAACGGGGCTCGGTGAAGCTGTGCTCCTCCCGCCGGCCTCCCAGCTCCTCCCCTCCCACCACGACCCCCTCCCCAGGGACACAAGCCACCCAAAATCAGGGTCCCCGGGGCATCAGCGCTACCGGGAGGCGGGGGGGTTCAAATGGCAGCGAGTTCCCCTCTACGAACCCGCCCCCAAAAACAACAGGAAGACGTGGGGTCAGGCGTGACAGCCCCTGGACCCCTCCGTGAGGGCAGGGGTCTGCCTATCCCCTCCCCACAACAAGGAGAGCACCCCAGACCTGGCTTGGGGGGCAGGGGATCCAGGGGGTGGGGAAGGATGAACACCCCCCCCTGCCCCCAGTGGCACCCCGATGGTGCAGAGAGAAGGAGGGGGGGGACTGGAGGACAGCCCTCACCTTTGCAAACCTGTTACTGCCGCTCCTCTCCTTGTGCAGGTTGTAATCCAACAGCCGCTTGCAGATGTTCTCCGTCACCTCGATTAACCGGATATCCCTGCGTGGAGGAGAGGAGGGAGGGCTCAGGCTCGGTGCCGTGTCCCCCTCCCCTCCAAGAACAGGGGCACGGGGGAGCCCAGCTGGTGGGGTGGGGGAGCTCTCTGTGGCTCCCCAAGCGAGAACGGGCACCCCCCAAGCTGCCCTGGTGTGGTTTAAGTTCTCTCAGAGGCTCTGCCTGCCCACCCCACCAGCCCTGGTGTGGTTTAAGTTCTCTCAGAGGCTCTGCCTGCCCACCCCACCAGCCCTGGAGTGGTTTAAGTTCTCTCAGAGGCTCTGCCTGCCCCCCCCGGCAGCAGGAGACCACCCGTCCCGCTCTCACTTACGACTGTGTGTACTTGACGGCGGAGCCTTTCCCGTCCAGGAAGCCATACTTGGTGTCGATCACCTCCTTGGTCTTGCCGGTCTCCTCGAAAGCCGATTTCAGCTCCACCGCCACGTACTTGCACACTGCGGGGGAGGAAAGCACAGGTGGGTTTGAGGGGGTTTTGCAGGAAAACAGCAGCAGGAACAAGCTCCAGGAGCCGGGCAGAACTAGAGCCGCCGTGAGCGGAAAACAAGAGGCCTCGACCATTCAAAGAGACAAGTGGGAAGGGCTCAGCTGATTCCACCTTGAAGCAGGAACCCCCCAAATCAGTGCTCCACTGTAAGGGCGTCCACTGCGGCACAGCCGGGAGGACAGGCGGCAGGAGTTCTGCCCCCAGGTTGCCCCAACAGCCCCCACAGCCTCTGCCTCCCCCGCCACAAGCTGCTCCCTTCCTCCTGGAAGAGGGTGGGAGCTCCTCCTCCTCCTCACCACACCAGCACAGCCCATCCTGGGGACACACCGAGCAGCTGGTGGGGCTCAGGGGACCATGTGGCGGGACAAGACGCTGGCTACAGGCTGTGTCACCACCACCGCAGGAGGGGCTGTCACCTCCAGCAACACCACACTTGGGGCAAAACCAGCACCAGCAGCTTTATGACAAAGCACGTGTTTTCTTTTATAAAACTAATTATTATTTTTCTTTTTTTTTTAAAAAAAAAAAAGGAAACAAAAACTTTTATTTCTTCTTCCGTAACAAAGAGTCCGACAGAACTAGGGAAACAGAGAGCAGAAGAGAAATATTCCAGGGGTTTACACGTGGAAGTGCAGAGGGATGGAAGCCAGGCACGGTGTGGCCCTTCCTCCCCCGAAGCTGGGGGTCCCGGGAGGCTGCAGAAAGCTTTGTCCTGTGCTCCTGTTTGCCAGGAGCCACCTCTTCTTCAAGTTTGGCTTTGAGAGAAGGACCGAGCCCAGCAGGAAGTGTCCGACAGCGACGAGCCACTGCTTCTTCTCCCAGGTGAGTGGAGAAGATGATGTGCCACAGGCAGGAAGAGAGGGAGGTGGCGTCTCCAGGGCTGGCCTGCCTGTGCCAAGATGCCCCCTGCGCACCTCCTGCGCTCTCCTTTCTCTGCTGGGACCGAGGGCTGGAGGTGTCCCACAGCCATTTCTTAGGTGCTCCTTCCTGCACAGTCCCTTTGGACTTCACCCTGAATAATTCGGGATCCCCTCCTTCCCCATAGGTAATTCGGGGTCCCCTCCCTCCCCGTGGATAATTCGGGGTCCCCTCCCTCCCTGCAGATAATTTGGGATCCCCTCCCTCCTCATGGAGAATTTGGGGTCCTCTCCCTCCCCCTGGATAATCTGGGGTCCCCTCCTTCCCCCTGGGTAATTCGGGGTCCCCTCCTTCACCCTGAATAATTCGGGATCCCCTCCTTCCCCATAGGTAATTCGGGGTCCCCTCCCTCCCCGTGGATAATTCGGGGTCCCCTCCCTCCCTGCAGATAATTTGGGATCCCCTCCCTCCTCATGGAGAATTTGGGGTCCTCTCCCTCCCCCTGGATAATCTGGGGTCCCCTCCTTCCCCCTGGGTAATTCGGGGTCCCCTCCTTCACCCTGAATAATTCGGGATCCCCTCCTTCCCCATAGGTAATTCGGGGTCCCCTCCCTCCCCGTGGATAATTCGGGGTCCCCTCCCTCCCTGCAGATAATTTGGGATCCCCTCCCTCCTCATGGAGAATTTGGGGTCCTCTCCCTCCCCCTGGATAATCTGGGGTCCCCTCCTTCCCCCTGGGTAATTCGGGGTCCCCTCCTTCACCCTGAATAATTCGGGATCCCCTCCTTCCCCATAGGTAATTCGGGGTCCCCTCCCTCCCCGTGGATAATTCGGGGTCCCCTCCCTCCCTGCAGATAATTTGGGATCCCCTCCCTCCTCATGGAGAATTTGGGGTCCTCTCCCTCCCCCTGGATAATCTGGGGTCCCCTCCTTCCCCCTGGGTAATTCGGGGTCCCCTCCTTCACCCTGAATAATTCGGGATCCCCTCCTTCCCCATAGGTAATTCGGGGTCCCCTCCCTCCCCGTGGATAATTCGGGGTCCCCTCCCTCCCTGCAGATAATTTGGGATCCCCTCCCTCCTCATGGAGAATTTGGGGTCCTCTCCCTCCCCCTGGATAATCTGGGGTCCCCTCCTTCCCCCTGGGTAATTCGGGGTCCCCTCCTTCACCCTGAATAATTCGGGATCCCCTCCTTCCCCATAGGTAATTCGGGGTCCCCTCCCTCCCCGTGGATAATTCGGGGTCCCCTCCCTCCCTGCAGATAATTTGGGATCCCCTCCCTCCTCATGGAGAATTTGGGGTCCTCTCCCTCCCCCTGGATAATCTGGGGTCCCCTCCTTCCCCCTGGGTAATTCGGGGTCCCCTCCTTCACCCTGAATAATTCGGGATCCCCTCCTTCCCCATAGGTAATTCGGGGTCCCCTCCCTCCCCGTGGATAATTCGGGGTCCCCTCCCTCCCTGCAGATAATTTGGGATCCCCTCCCTCCTCATGGAGAATTTGGGGTCCTCTCCCTCCCCCTGGATAATCTGGGGTCCCCTCCTTCCCCCTGGGTAATTCGGGGTCCCCTCCTTCACCCTGAATAATTCGGGATCCCCTCCTTCCCCATAGGTAATTCGGGGTCCCCTCCCTCCCCGTGGATAATTCGGGGTCCCCTCCCTCCCTGCAGATAATTTGGGATCCCCTCCCTCCTCATGGAGAATTTGGGGTCCTCTCCCTCCCCCTGGATAATCTGGGGTCCCCTCCTTCCCCCTGGGTAATTCGGGGTCCCCTCCTTCACCCTGAATAATTCGGGATCCCCTCCTTCCCCATAGGTAATTCGGGGTCCCCTCCCTCCCCGTGGATAATTCGGGGTCCCCTCCCTCCCTGCAGATAATTTGGGATCCCCTCCCTCCTCATGGAGAATTTGGGGTCCTCTCCCTCCCCTGCCTGTGCCAAGATGCCCCCTGCGCACCTCCTGCGCTCTCCTTTCTCTGCTGGGACCGAGGGCTGGAGGTGTCCCACAGCCATTTCTTAGGTGCTCCTTCCTGCACAGTCCCTTTGGACTTGGGCCTCCAGGACGTCCCTCTCCACACACCACACCTGCTGCAGCGTCCCCACACACGCCAGTAGCCCTCACTGCTGGGTCCAGTTATCCAGATGCCGCCCCATGGGTGTCACTGGGCGCTGAGGCAGGTTCCAAGCCTGGTCAGGAAGAGGAGCAGCGCGTGGTCAGTGCTCGCGACGATGCTCCCTCTGAGGTTATGCAGGTGCCACAGCACCCCAGATGCATCAGCGTCCCCAGGGCCAGCAGGGAAAGCTTTGCAAAGAGCTCCGGAGTATCACTTCTCCTTTTTCTCTTTGCTGTCAAGCTCCACGTGTCCCTGCACGGCAAAGATAGAGGAAACCACACAGCAAAGCCCCATCATGCCCTGCCCTGGGCTGCCTGCGAAGCCTTTGACCACTTGTGAACCAAGGGGCTGCTCAGGGATGAAGCATCACAGAATCACAGAACGATCTGGGGTTGGAAGGGACCTCTGGAGATCATCTAGTCCAACCCCCTGCCAGAGCAGGTCCACCCAGAGCAGGTTGCACAGGAATGTGTCCAGGCGGGGTTTGAATGTCTCCAGAGAAGGAGACTCCACCACCTCCCTGGGCAGCCTCTGCCAGGGCTCTGCCACCCTCACAGGAAAAGAAGTTCCTCCTCCTCTTTAAGTGGAACTTCTTCTATTCAAGTTGGTGACCATTTCCTCTTGCCCTGTCCCTGGGCACCACCATCGCTGAGACCGAACCGTGAGATGCAGCAGAGACGACCAGCCCCAGCTACAAACCCGTCAGGCTATCGGTGCCCACTGGAAACAGCAGCCGCTGCCAGCGCGCCCCTAAACCCCTCTCATCCCGGGAAGGACGGATGACAGCCGCCAACAGGGATACACCGCGGGGGAATCCGCTCGGCTGCGGGGGGGCCCTGGGGGGGATACTCTCCCCCAGCCAGGCACACACAGCCCCCGCATTCACTCCTCTCCGCCGCCTGCAGGGCTGTGGGGGCGGCGAGGGGGCGGGCGGAGGGTGCAGGCCGCAGTCAGGCCTGGGTGCAGCGGCCTCAGCCTTCGCCCCGGCAACCCCCCACCGCCCCCCCGCAAACC